GAATGAAATTCTAAAATTAATGCTGATTATATTACTCAGTATATTTAAAGAATTTTTACATTTTAATAATGTTAGCATATTTAGACATCAATAGCATAATTTATAGTTATCTAATAAGTAATTCATTTTCAAATAGTAATTGACATTTTATAATTTTCCCTTAAGACTTACGTGTTGATGATGTTGATGATTATATTTTAACCATATGTGCATCCTCTGGATGTCTGAACTCTTGAATTATACTATGTTTTCTTGCATCATTATACTTGGATTTTTACTTGGTCTACTATGTGAATAAATGAGACTTTTATCAATCAGACTATTGGCGTAAATCAATTTACAGACCTAGATAGATTATGATGTAATATCCAAACAATATAAGGATATGAAGCTGAAATTTTGGATGAATCATAAACACTTTAAGGAACTCTGGATTTCAGCTAACAAGTGCATGATTCCTGAAATGTCTTGAAATGGCAGTTTGTATGATAAACAAGACCAAGTACTTGGCAGAATCTTACTAACTGATAATGCTGGCGATCAACATGTGATAAATATTACATTCTAAGTTTATTATTAAGTCTCTTTGAAAGGCCAGAGATTACACAGAAGTCAACTTTACACCTAGTGGTGGCATTACATCAACAGTTCTGTATCGGGGCTCCTGGATATTCTCCTTCTCTGTCAGATGTTGGACTCCGTCTTTTGATTACCTTGAATTATCCAATGAGACAACTGTTTAACTCTTCATCTGTGACATCTTGCCCCTAAATTAGCCTAATTTTAATAATGAACTATGTTAAAATTCCCTGGCCACTCTTTGATTTCAAGGCAATCTTGAGGGTAGAGCTGGACTTCATTTCCATTCTTATTCTACCTGTTCAATCCTGTGAGCTTTGGAACATTTCTCATAGGCATTCTTTGATGATCTAAAATGGAAGGTGTCTGCTTCATTCCATCATCTTTCTCTTCTTCAAAGCTTCCATTTTCTTTTAAGTACCTGGCACATTACTGATGTCGAGTTGTTTCACTTTTGACAGTACAGCAATTATAGTCGTCATTTGTGACCACTGAATGAACTTCAGCAGTTCTTAATGGCTTCCAAACTTTTTGTGATCTTGCAAACACAGCTTGTTTTTAAGACCTCAACAGTGGAGTTGAGTGCCTATTCTGTTCTTGGAAGAAAAAGTCAAGTGTGAGATTGTCCACCCAGCCTTTTATCATTTGAAATATTCAAAGATGTGTGCACCCAGACCTGTTCCTGCTTATGTACTTGGGTGTTCTTAACCTTGAGCTGTCTTGAGTTGGAAAACAACTTTTTTGCAAGAACACCTTGCACTAGTCTTCCTTTCATCTTCCTTGCGAATACGATTATGCTGCTGCCAACGGCCGTATCATTTCAGACATCAGTGGGGATTGTTTTGTCTAACTTGCTCTGCTTGAACGTGTAGCAGGATCTGCCGGCAGCTGTTATGATTTTCAGCAGTTGTTCCTTTTTTCCATTTAGCCCAGTGTTCTACGAGTTATGGGAGTTCTTTGAAGGGATGAAGTCAGTTGCTTTGTTCATGGATGTAAAGCAAATCTTTTTTTTTTTTTTTTTGGTGAATCATTCTTCTAACCGCTTCTCCTGGCCAGGGTTATGGGGGGGCCTGGAGCCTGTTCCAGGGAGCATAAGGCACGTGGCTGGCTGGTCTAGCACAGGGCACATACACTATGGGCAATTTAGAGACTCCTTTTAGCCTCAGTCTATGACTTTGTACTGTGGGAGGAACCCCACGCAGTATGGAGAGGACATGTAAACTGAACATGCACCAGAGTGGAGGCTGGATTTGATCCTGCACCTAAGGGCATGGCTATACTGCTATCCTGCACCTAAGGGCATGGCTATACTGCTATCCTGCACCTAAGGGCATGGCTATACTGCTATCCACTGAGCCACCCTTAACATGAGTTTTTGTTAGTCAGACTCTTTCTTAGGAAAAATATCTTGAGGTTTTTGAAGTCATACCAGAATTACAATTTTAATGGATTTATACTTTTATTGCATACTACCAAGCTCTTATACTTTGAGATTGATACTTAATTGTAGAAAAATAATTTTTAAAAGGTCTGCTAAAATTTTTCATAGTTATGAAGCATGACAGTATTGATTAAAATCGTATACAGCACTGACATACCTCATAGATAAAGCTTAATATTGCAAATTTTGGAGATGGTCCATTCCTATAATTTTAAGGTAGTTTGTGTGTCTCCAGAGATTAAAATTATACAGTGATTGGAGGTTTGTTGTTTTTTTATTTTTTGTTTTTTTTTTGAAGAACATACGAATCTTAGCCTCTTTTTGAACAGTGAGGACCTGTTTGCTAGTGGAAGTGCTTAATCTACCAACATTGAGGATCCAGTGCAGGAATTAAATCTTTCTTAGTGTAGTCCAACAGCAAACTGAATAGCACTACATCAGATGTTCATATGGATCATTCAATTCAGTACTGCAGTGAGCACATGCAGTTGTTCTAGTTTAACTCAATTTAACAAGATTTAAACGCTGTAAATGCAGTTTTCCTGTAAAACATTGCATAAAAACCATTATGGTGCATTTTTTTCTAACCTTCCATCAGTCAGAAAAATCTCAATTGTTAGGTCATGTCTTACACATTTAGTCTTTAGACACATGGTAACTAATTTACATTAGTACCTGTCTCCTTTTTGTCCGATCTGTACATTTTATCATTCCATACCCAGTATAACAAACTATTGTGAGTGTGGAATAATTGTTTTTGCTTGTTTGATGATGATTTAGTGAAATTAGTTTGAAACGTATCTAAATGATATTTTTAAAAGAATACATTATATACGTATGTTTGTGGCATTTGTTGGTTGAAAGAAAAACAACACATCTTCAGCAAAAAATAAAAGAAAACTGTCTAGATGCTAAATGTTTTGTGTAGATTACATGCCTGTGTCTAGCTTCATTCGGATTGGTCTTCATTCTTGTGCATGGCTATTGGCTAGCAGTAATCAAATGACTTCGGAGTCACTTAAAAACCAATGACAGACATTTGTGGTGTTTTTAATTCAGATTCACACTGTGTGTACAGGTTTATCGCTTGGTATTTTTCTCTTTTGATGTTTTTGGAAAATGTCAAATGTTCAACTACACCCCCCAAAAAAAAAACATTATAAAAATGCTACATTTCAGATTAGGTAAATACATATTTCAAGACGTAACACCATCTGAGTTACAGACACATGTAGCCCAGATTGTGCTTATATATTAATTCTTGGATTTAAAGTTGGTTGTCTTTGTTTAAATATTTTGTATTGATTTTAGTATTTGGCTCATCAGATGCTGCACAATATTAGTTTTTTTGTTAGTTTTCTTATGATTTTAATGAAGATGCACTTCAGGAGTTTAAATTATTCTGTTGTAATTCACTTCTGACTTTTATCTGTCCATAATAACTGTTACACATGGCACACCAACTACAGGGAAATGCAAAACTTAGTACATTTGGTCTTTACGTTGAACATTTGACAATACTTTTCTGCTGTATAACTCTGGCTAGAGACTTAAGGTGACTTCTTTGTTGTAGCAGTCAAAGCATAGTTTCAAATTTAACTTGATGTTCCACAAGACTATCAACATGACCCTGCTATGGGATTTAAAAAAATAATGGTGTTTTTTTGGAAATTGTTTGGGTATTTATGCAAAACTTGACTGCCAGTTTTGACATATCATTGGGGTTTACAACTTTTTTTCCTTTTTTTTTTCTTTAATTTTATTAAGACCTCAAAGTGAAGAAGTTGAAGTGGAGACCATTGGTATGTGATCAAGATGGCAGCCTCCTTTCTCTGCTTTGGAAAGGGTTTTATTGTTGGGAAATGCAGTGTCTTTGGTTTTGATATTGACTACTTGCTACATTGCATGGACGTTTGTTTTGAGAAGTAATGATTGGAGAAATCTGTGCTTCTGTGTGCATTCTGAAAAGATGTTTCTTAAAGTAATGCAAAGTTTGTATTGATTCATTTTTCAAAATCTTATTGTAACTGTGTGTAATTGCATCATTTTGTTTTTATTAATGCTTAATAAAAAAAGGATATGTACCATTTTCCTTTGACTCTTTTTCTATTGGTCAAAATTTAAATGGGTTTTACCCTTCGGACTTCATGAGTTGACTTACTGGAATAAAGTGACTTCTTACATTTGAACTCATTGGTTATGGACAGTCTGACCAATTCAATGGTTTGTTTCATATTCACTTGGAAAAGTTCCTTGATGGTTCCATGAAAAATGAAATGCCGTCGTGCTTTTTTGAAATAATTCTGCTGGTTGAGTGTCTTTGTCAAAAATGTACATGTTTCTCAGTTTGTAATCAACTTGTTGATTCTTGGGAGTCCTCCATATGGCACTGAGGTGTTGACCATTAAAGATACTTTGTAGACTTGGGATTCTACAAAAGGTTATTGGATACATCCTGAACTCCCATTTGTTGGGTTTAACAAGACCAGGGGTGCATGTTTTGGATTTGGGATGGTTTTTATTCCAGTTTCATTGGCTAGTTATGTCCTGCTACTGGAAGACTGTAGCTGACCCATTGCTACTTTTAATGGCTAGTCTGCAATTGGGTGATTGCAGGGTCATCTTGTTTTTTGTCATTCTTTAGTTTTAATGTGGTTATAATGGAAATGGATATAGCCAGTGCTCCATTGACTGGGATTTTCCATCAGCTCTGGCTATTTTTTCTAACAATAGTCCTTAGTTGCATAATTCTTCAAGGTACAAAGGGTTAAATCAGATGTGAAGGCAGTAGCTGTAATGGTGTCCAAGGCTGCTCTGTTGCTTCTATAAAATGGCTTCAGTTATCTCGTTTCCTCATTTCCTGTCTGAACAGGAAGTGGTGGCACGGACAAAAAAATGTATTCTCTCAAAAAAATTAAAAATTAAACAGCTCCCCCCAATATCTTGCTCTGGGGATGAATTTGGTTACTTGTGTCAGTGTCCAGCCCCACATCCATGATTTGGAGAAGATAGTTTAGTTGTAAATATTGGCATTTTTGTAGGATATGGAAGGGGTGGGTCTTCAGTGCATCACCTGAGTCCTGGGGTAAATGGAAAGGACGTCAATCAAAGGCTGGGCTCTCAGAGCTGGGAAGGAGCTCTAGATGGCGGCTGAGCCTCGGAGAGGGGCGCGCATTCACGCTCGCACGGCTTCGTCTGGCACTTTTTCATCCCCCCCGCAACTTTGAACAACTTTTCAGGCTCCCCGGGCTGAACCCAGGCGAGAGTAGGGCTAGATGCGGTGTAGTCGGCGTGAGAATTAGCAGCGTTTTCCGGCGTTAGGTCGATGCATTTGGCGGAGGGGGAGCCGCACTGTGCCGTCTGTGCGAGTCGTTGTTTCCCCAGCCAGGCAGGGCGGCCATGGCGCACCTCCATTTTTAGTGCGCTCGCCTGGGCGCTCCTCCGGCTCCTCTTCCTTTCTTCTCAGCTACCGATATTTCAACGCAGATTAAAATTTTAAAATCAAATTATTTCGATATTAGTCGTTTTAAAAGGATTTTTGTTTCTTTTTTCCGGAATCGCGAAAACGGGATAAATACTCCTTACGGGAGACTAGAAAGCGGCGCCGCAGTCTACCTGTCTGTACATGGAATAGGTATGTCTACAATGCTTTTATAAATTTTAATTTTTCATTGTTTTTGTTATGAAGCTCGTTTCTGTATCGTATTTTGTCTGATGACGCAGTTATAATGTGTGTCTGTAGCCGTATTTTAAAGAAATCCTTTGCACACATGGGCACTGTACATTGATGCCCATGCCACTGGGCACCAATTATTTGTCGATAATATGCAATATTTCTAATATTTGATATTTTTTAACGTCGGACAAGGTGCTTTTCTGTCTGTCTTATGTCGTCGGCAACGTCAAATGCTGCTTCTTTCCTCTTAGCAAAAAAGCCAAGGAAATACAGTCCGGCTTACCATTCTTTTAACTTTTTGACAGTTAATACCAGAACTTAAGATCCCCAAACGCAAACGTTTTCAAGATTAAACCATGATGAAGAGTAAGGACAAAAAGCAGGACGATGACGGGTCGCCTCAGAGCAATGCATCAAGGTACGATCTTTAAAGTTTTCCAGCCCCCTTTTTTGACATCTGCCTTGATTGTTTGCCCTGTCAAACACGGGTGCTCACCTGTACACATTATATTTTTTTTTGGCGACGATCGCCCTCGATTAATGTCCATTTTACATCAATGACCTTGGCACTCTTAAACAGCCACACCCTAATTTTTGCTGGCATTTCTAAAACTTAAGCCCCGACTCCTGGGCCCGTGTAAATCGTATACCCAAATGTACATCGGCTCGATGGATGGTGGTGATTTTTTTTCTTTTTCTTTTTTTAGGAGTTCATGCACGGTTGCCTTTTCTTTTATGTCTATTTGTGACAGTATAAAATGACCTTGTCTGATTAGTCGCTGCTGCATTGCACCATTTTACATGCAATGTTCATTCGCATTTAATGCATTTTGAACACTTTCTGGTCACATGTGGTTTGGAAATACTAAGTGGTCTTTTAAAACCGAAACCGTTTTTCAATGGGGGGAAGAACATGGGGTATCGTTTAAGATTTGTTTCATGAATGAAGGTACTGATATAAACTTTCAATTCTGTCTGAGAGTGCCTTTAAAACCCATAACAAAAAACACACTAAGCGATACTTAAAAAGTTTATGCCCCATGGATGTTCATAAGGTTGTACAATTCATTAATCATTTTACAGTGAATTACAGTGTTATTCCTTGAAGGTAAATTTGTGGGTACTCGAAAGGTATTGAAGTTTGGTCATTTGTAACAGATGTAGATAAAGGCCTGTCTTTACTTTCCATTAAATATCTCTTTGGGATCGTAAAATATTATCTGATTTATTTTATATGTCAGACTCTCAGTACTCAGTCCCACATACTTTGAATATGCTTGTATATTTTGATATATAAATTACCCTGGTTGATTTAAAGCATTTTCTGTCTAAATACAACGTTTAGTAACATTTACGCTTCCTCCTATAGGTGCTTTTCCCATGTTTTTTTCCCCATATATGCAGATGCAATTAATTGTTAGAACGATATCCTACATTTTGTACATGTTGTCCTACTATAATATTTGTACACTTTAACCCATTTTTAATAAGGTGTGTTATTGTTTTTTCAGTTATAGAAAAAGTACATATTCAGACGACTTCACTTATGTGTGACCTTTTTTTATTTATTTATATAACCCTGTCTTGGTTTTTCAAACATGACCGACAGATTTATTGGACTGTTTATAATTGGCTTAATTTTGTTGACATCAACAAGTTCCTTTGTTACATGTAGAACCTATACTTTTTTCCACCAGTTATTTGTGATTTTCTGGTTTCTCTGATGTTCAGTATTGTTGACTGACACATCTGTGTAGCATAACTCAGGATTTTACTCGCGTTATGTGAAGAAGTATTAGATTAGTGGCCAGATGCACACAAGTAAAGTATCTTATACTGGTTCCATAGATGCATCAAGAAGCCATCAGTGGGATTCAACCACTTTCCATCTTATGGTGTAGAGTTTTGTTTCTCATGTTTGAAAATTAGTGCTTGTTGTGCTGTTAAATGAACATTTAGTGGAAGGAGTAAACTAAATGTTTGTTTTAAAATGCAAACGAAATACACATATTCCACCAATGAAGAAAGGCGATTTAATTGGTTGCTAAGTGTTTTTCCTTCTAAATGCAGTAATTGAAAGGGCCACTGGAGGGAAGTAATTGCCCAACACAACAATTACACCAATGGACCGTTTGATGTTGAGTCCAGTGCCTGGAGTAATTTAAAACTCATGGAGATAGTTAAACACGTGCAAAATTTCAATTTCCTGTTGCACCAGGAAGTGAACGATTGTGAACAATTGATATAGTAAAACAATGTTTATATAGTTTTTTGCCTTTACCACATTATTAAAGCATAAAAGTATGCGTTTATATTGTTGTTCCAACTATTAATTTTGGCCATGTTTTTTAGTCTATGTTCTGGTTCCATTTTTCATAGGGGAGATTATTTCAACTTACATGAAAGAGGTTACTTTGTTGGAGGGGGTGGGGATAGTTTTTAGGTTCATTGTTGGACATTGTTGAAATAAAATTCTAGTGAAGAAAAAAACACTATAGAGGCTGGGTTGTGTTGGAGGGATAACTATGTGGAAAGTGTATTGTAAGCATGGAAAATTTCACAAAAGTCTGAAATCCTCAAATGGGGATTGTGGAATTGGGATACATTGTTTAATTAGTACAATAATGCATTGGTATTTTACAGTCTATTAAGGTAAATCTGCACAAATATCTGCACAAAAGTATCATTTAGTAAGGATATGGAATTTACTTTGCAGTGCTCATATTCCGATGAATTTATAACGAGGAAATGGAACATGTTGTCTTTAAAACCATACTAAATATTGATGTTCCGAACGAGCTATAAAGCAAACTGGTAGCTTTTTGAAATTGGTGCTATCATTTCTTTTAAAAGTTATTTTTTATAGAACAAGGCTAAAATTATTCGGTTAAATTATGTGTGACTACGTATTAAGCCGAAATGGTATTCTATACTCTTGACGTTTAATTTCTGTTAATTTCTGGTTATTGTACATGTCGTGGCTTTATTGGTCTTCACTTTTCTAGTTGATAGTCATGCATGTAGCATCAGCTGCAGTTTTAACAAACCAGATACATTTGGAAAAGTGCTACACAGGTGCAGTAGTACTTATGTGCATATACACTGAACGAAGTCAGATCTCAGTGCCCTGAGTAGCTTGTTTTTTGTCTTTTTTTGACGAAATGGTTGTGTGTTTCCATATTTATTAGAATTTTAAACCAAGAAATGGTTGTATATCGTTAGTACAAGAAAATATGCATGCATAAATGCAGAACTGTTTTAATGGAAATGGTAAAATGGGTAATAGCTCTGGACAGATTATGACATTGCAAAGGGTTAAATTTTCAGTATTTGCTTTGTTGTTTCATGAGGCAGCCATTTTAAATGAACACATTTAGACAGGATTAAAATCAACAGTTTTCATCTTCGATTAGGCACTGTGTTTTTGACAATGAAACAACTCAACTGGCTTTTAAATGACAAAAACTGTCCTCTTTTTGGGAACAGCAAGGCACAGTTTTTCAACCAGTAAGGCATTTGCTTATGTAAGCGTCTTTACTTCTTCAAATGGCTGCTCGTCCACTTAAAAGTCACAAAATGGCTCTTGCTTTGTGCCGCATAGCTGGTCAGGCATGCTGCATTACACAGTACGTTCCTGGAACTACAGGAAGTGGCTCAAAGGTCATAAGTGTATGTTTTAGATGGTGATTGGGTGTTCCCCTTGCATAGCAACACAGCAGCCTGTAGAAATTCTCTGTATGTGTCAAGTCCCGCCTCTTCCTTACATCATCTCAGCACTGGAAGGCTGTGTTTCCTGTCTGCTTTGTCAGCTGAGAGTGCCTTGCTGGAAAGGAGGGCCCAATATCAGTTCAGTCTTTATTTTCATCATATGATTATAAAGAATAAATATATTATATACAATATATGAATATTTGTTGATTATTATCAACACAACAGCATAATAATAATAAAAAAAAATTATAATAAAATACAAAAATTAAACATATTTTGCATTTTTGTTTGGGTTTATGTGTACCTTGAATCCAGCAGAGAATTTCCAACAGCACTTTGTCCTTTTTTATTTACATACGACCTAACCCATGCCATAGTCCAAGTGTTTATACATACGACCTAACCCATGCCATAGTCCAAGTGTTTATCGTGTTTAAAAGGATATATTTAACATTTAGAAACAGTGAAGCAATTGTTAACCTGTGTTCAAAAATGAATTAAGGATGTTTTGTAGCACAGACAACAGAAAATGCATCTAAACGTTTAGTTTGTATGCATTCTGGAGAAAATTAACAGAAGCTGCAGAAGTAAGCGCCTTGGACCCCTGCTGGCGGTTCGTGATATTGCAATGCTGGGAACAATAAAGGAATTTTGAAAAAAAAGAGCCTCCATTTCTATTGTTTCCTGTCAGATTGGATACACCATATAAAGAGAATTGTAACAGTAAGGTCACTATAACTCACATTATCTTTATTTCTGGGTGCTGGTCTGATGCCCATTTAAAGTGGGTATAATCTATACAATGTAAGTCTGCTGTATTGTGTGGATACCTGCCCTTAAGAACATGCTTTCAGGGAACAACTAATACCTGCTTCATTTATAGTTCTACTTTTCTGTCTAAAATGGATGATGATTTGAATTGATAATGGTACCGTATGTTTACAATTTGAAAATTGTAATTTAATTTCAAAGGAAAATTAGCAATTAAGTAAAACTAAAGAGTATTTGGTGCAACATGACTATTTTACATTAAAAGTTTCCAATTTTTTTCTGATATGGTCTTTTACAAACATAACAAAAGTACATAAATGCTATTTTCTCATATTTCACATAAAGCTGATAAGACAAAAATAATACAAAAAAAACCCCAAAATGATTTCTGGCTTAAATATGAACAATTTGAGTACCCATTAGTCACCCCAATACCAACTATTATTAAAACTAAACACATTTTGCATTTCAGTTTGGGATTATATGTACCTTGAATCCAACAGGGAATTTCTGTAAATTGTGAATTCACCCACTTTGTTATTGAATGTAATGAATCACATGTTAGTCCTTTTATTTATTTATTTTAATTCTTTGACCCTTGCATTTTCACACGAAAGTATTTTTATTCAGCACAAAATTTACATAATTGACAAAGTAAGCAGATTCTAAAGAATCTGCTTATTGTGTTTTCCACACACTTGTGAAATAGCAGGCATTGAATAAGTAGTCTGATGAATATGAAAGGCATAGTTAGACAGATTTATATATTCACGTTTGGCACCCTCACATACGTCTGTTGCATTACAATGAAATCACATCCTTTGTTAATCTGTGAGGTGGGGTTTCTTTCACATTGTAGCAACTCTGCATCAGAGGAATCGAACCACTCGGCGTCGGAGTCCGGGAGTCAGTCGGACAGCGAGCGCGGAAGCGAGCGCGGAAGGTCCCGACGCTCCGAGTCCAACAGCACGTCCGAGTCCGAGAGCCGCTCCGAGTCTGAGAGCGAGTCAAAGCAAGCCTCAGCTGTGGTCAAGGACAAGCCCATCCGAAAGAAGGATAAGCTAGCAGATGTTAAGAAGGTACTGAGGTGCCAACCACCCAGTGATGAGGCTTCATGCAGTTTGACTTCCCTGAAGTGGGACGTGAGAGGACAGGATCTCTTGTTAGACTACATTAAATGTTTAAGGACTGCTTGATTGGAAATTTGTTCCAAGCTTGTATAATGATTTATGATTTACATTTATTTAGAGCAGGGGTTTTCAACCTTAGACCAGAGAACCCCAAATTGCATTAAACGAGAGATGGAGACCCACCCCCACCATTAATGTGTGATCACACAAGTAACTAAGGACTATGGGGGCCTTTGGTTTCCATAATTTTCCGGTGATGGGAGAATTTGTTGGGTTTCTGCGGACCCCAGGTTGTAAACCCCTGATCTAGTGCATATACCTGCTGGCTGCGAGTCCAAGAGACGAGACTGTGGGGCAAATTGGGCTATTTGCTTACAGATGTGGGAGGAACATCCAGATGTTTATGGGGTCAGGAGGTCCAACCGGAGCAGACATGAACCTGCTCGCCTTAATATCGGCGCTGAGGTGAGTGGGAGAGGCAAGAAAGCTGCAATGTTATGTAGTGCAGTGGAGGCTTATACAGTGTGTTGGTAACTCTTAAATGGAATTGATATTGATAAGCTACTCTGTAGATTTTTAGCTGCTTTCTCTGAATTTGAAGGGCAGCAGGAATCTGAGCACTCTGAAGGAATGGCTCTGTAGTCTGTGCACCCAGGAGCTGTACCTACCATTTCGTTGTTCACACTGCCATCTGGTGGTTGAGAGAGACATTCGCTGTTTATAGGAAAACCAATAGAAAAGTTAGTGTATGGGTGCTAATTTATACTTTCAATTAAAGCATTTCTGTAATTCCTAATTAATTAAATTCCTTTAAAAACAGTCTTTTGATTAATTTAATTTAATTTATTTATTTACCCTGGTGATCCATTATACAACATTGCATAGTCGCAATGAAATTTGCCCTGACTGTGACTTGCATACAAGTGTCAGCCTTCTGGTGACACATGAATGTATCTCTGATACATCTTCAGGGCAGCAGCGAATCTGAGAGTGAAGGTCCCAAAAGAAAAGTCTCCCGGCAGAAGAAGGCAGAGTGAGTGGGGGCTGGATGACATGCACGAAACTTTTCTGCAGTTTCGCATACATGCGCGCAGCGTTCGCACACAGAATCGACATGCTGCTGCCTGGGCCCTGTGTCATATTTGCATTCTTCTGCCTGCGGCAGTCCGTCGCCAGTGCTGCTCCAGCACTGATGAAGGTTACATTTGCAGTGTCATATGAGAATTAAAATGTTTCATTGTTAAAAACCACAGTATAAAGATGAATATAAGAAGAATGGGTTAAATTTTAAATTGTTTTTTCTAATAAAATACTATTTTGAAAAGGAATATTTGCTTGTAAAAGCCATCTCAAGTATGGTTTCACATTTTCAGTGTTTTTTTTTATTTTTTTAAATGTTCTATTTTCTTTTAATTATATGAATGCAGAATAGCATTTGAATAAGCTCAGTGGTTTGGGGGGGGGGGTGACTTATTTCCTTCATGGTCTTTGCACTGCACTACATCTGTGTGCCATTGCTGAGGTGACAGGCCCCCTGGTGGGTGGTGTCGGGCATGACACCAAGCATGCCTGTGCTTTGAGTGACAAGGAACGCCAAGCCTTCGGCATGAGCTAGCCTAAGGGCTCAGTGAGCCGTCATTAGCTGCAGGGTAGGCTGACGGGCCGCACCCTGCTCTCCGGGTGCCAGAGGACGGGTCAGCGCAGCACTGGCCGGCATCCTGAAGGGTAAAACTGTGGTATTTCTGTGTTGAAAGAAATACCTGGAAAGATGATGACTCAAATGAAGAAGAGGAGGATGATGATGAGGAAGATGCCAGCAGTGCAGACAGTGAGCAGGATGAGAAAAAAGTTAGATCCAGACGACTGCCAGCGAGAAGGTAAGGGTGTAGCGAAGCCTGGCCTTCAGACAGCTCCTCTGATTGGTCCGATTTGGTCATGTGTCCATTTTAGTTGGAAGCTGCCCTGATCCCCAAATCTTAAAGAGCCTTTTGGATGTAAGGGCTGAGATTTACGTATTGCTTGTTAACTGAAAATATCCACTTTCGAAATGTCTATATTTGTTTAATTACGTTATTGTAGCCATTTTAAAATAAGTTGGGATATTTCTGGTGCTCTCCATCAAGAATTTGACATTTAACATTTTAAAACTATAAAAGCTGTCTCAAGGCCACTCGTACGCAAGTCAGGTTGTTAGAAGGGGACTCGTCCGCTACGCTCTGGTGGTCAGATGGGGGCCGGCGTGGAGTCGTGCCTCATGGCCTGAGTGGCAAACAGTCGCCCTGTGTCTCTGTTTCACAGGCCTCAGAGCAAATCGGCTGGGGCCAAGAAGCAGGAGCTTCCAAGAAGCAAGAAAGCAAGGAAGCAAGATTCATCAGAGGACGAGGATGAGGATGACGACGATGAAGATGAGGACACACCCAAGAGACAGACGCGCCGTCGGGCAGCCGCCAAAGTCAGGTGAGACAGAGTTTGTGCCCTGCCACTGCTCTGGCACTGTGCTCATTTTATCTGACAGCCAATAAAGTAATAAAACACCACCATGTTTATTTAAATTTTATCGTTGCTACAGAAGTTAATAAGGTCTTTGTTAATTAGAGTTGCAAAGGGGCGGAGACCTTCCGATAAATTTCCGAAAACTTTCCAGAATCTTTCCATGGGAAGTAGGGTTGCAAAGAGGTGGAAACTTTCCAGAATCTTTCCATGGGAAGTAGGGTTGCAAAGGGGTGGAAACTTTCCAGAATCTTTCCATAGGAAGTAGGGTTGCAAAGGGGTGGAAACTTTCCAGAAACTTTCCATGGGAAGTTAAGCTGGGAAATTTTTAGAAATATTGAACTCTGTGGAACTGCACATGAACTGGTAAGGCAAAGAAAGCAAACTATGAATAATACAAGATAGGATATGACTTATAAGCAGTGCGTTTTGATGCAGATGCTTATTTTGCGGTGTTTTTACACACACATAATTACTCAGAAGCCCTTGGCTAAGCTTGATATCACTATTAGTGCTGTCTACTTTTTTTTCCAATTACATTTAAGTTCACTGTTATAGGCTAACCTGCAATTTTACAAATTCCCAAATTTTCCCATGGAAAGCTTCCAACTTTGAAAATTCCTAGGATTTTGCACCCCTATTGATAATTAGAATCAGAATTCACTCTACTGACCAGGTACACCTGCATGTACTACGAATTTGTTTTGGCAGTATTGGTGCTTCCTTTCACAAATAACATAGAAGTTCAAGAACATAAATTAAGAAAAATTGATAATCAGAAATAACATAATAGAATAAAGGAATAAAGTAGTGCAAGCTGTGCACTTGTGTGCAGCATAATTATAAGGTCATTAAGGACAGAGGTATTTCAATACTGTAATGTAAAGATATAAAAATATGAGATGCCCTCTAAATGAAAAATGATGTACAATCAACAGTTACTTGCTAAGTGCCTCTTAAAAACAGCTGTATTTACCATGGTTGCACATCACTGATGTTATGTGTGACATTAGTATAATTTAATATGCTAATAATATGCAGATTCCAAATAGTCAGGTTTAGCATTTAAGTATTTTGTGATTAACTTGTGCTGTTGCTCTAATTGGTTGATTATATACTGTGTTTTTCTGGGGCTGGGTCCAGTCCAGCACATGTCACTCTGAGGAGCACTGTTACGTCGTACAGACTTCTTAGGTATGGTTTAGTGCCCTTCCTCCTTTGTGCCAGTTGTGATTCCAGTGCTTGCCTTCCAGTTATAAGGAGGACCTGAACGACTTTGAGACAGATTCCGACGACCTGATCGAGATGGCTGGGGAGGCTGGCGACGAACAACAGGATAATGACAGTGAGACCATCGAGAAGGTCATGGACGTCAGGACTGGCCGTAAGGGAGGTGAGCTTCTCTCTGTCTCTGTTATGCGTTTTGTAGGAACAAGCAGCCCTGTTTCTGGCTGTAAGAGCATGATGAGTGTTACGCTGGAGTGTGATTCAGTCACACGCTGACTCACTCTGTCAGTGACGTGCAGTGGTGGGTCAGGGCTCGGAGAATAGAGCTGCCGTCTGGCGTATTATTTCTCGTGGATTGCTCGGCATTGTGGGCCAGCTGTGATGGCCCAGCCTAACCGTGTGTGTGACCTCACAGCCATGGGGGCTTCCACCACGCTATACGCCGTGGAGGCCAATGGCGACCCGTGTGCCGACTTCGACCCCGGGAAAGACGAGGGTGAGACGCAGTACCTGATCAAGTGGAAGGGCTGGTCCTACATTCACAACACGTGGGAGAGCATGGACTCCCTCATCCAGCAGAAGGTCAAGGGGCTCAAGAAGCTGGAGAACTTTAAGAAGAAGAATGAGGAGCTCAGTTACTGGTGAGACCTCAGCAGAGATAAAATGTCAGAAATGCTCAGCTTTCATTTAAAAATTAACAGCTCTGATATAGATGATAAGCTATGATAAGCATGTATTCTGCTTATGGTTTTTAGTAAGGGTCACAGTGACAAACAGAGTGTTTCTGCACATTGTCCTTCTGCCTCTCAGGATCTCGAAAGCCTCCCCAGAAGACCTGGAGTATTACAACTGCCAACAAGAACTGACCACAGACCTCAATAAACAGTTCCAGATCGTGGAGCGAGTCATAGGTGAAGATCTCCGTAGTGAACCATGAATACGTTAGGTTACTCGTACTGTGTGACGTGTTTGGGTTCATATCCATTTTTACGCTAATTAAGTTTGTGTTTACAAAAAAACTGCTGTGTCTTCTGTGTTTTGATGTTTTAGGATCTTGTCCTCTTTTGTAACCCTTCCCATTTCATTACTGATGTTTTGCGCTGTAAGGAAGGAGGTGTCTGAAACCAAATTTATGAACAACACATTTTCCTTTTGTCTTGGGCAGCAACAAAGACCGGCAAATCGCAGTGCTCCTCCGACTTTCCCTGTGAGTATGAGCTGGTGCCACGTGGTTGCAGTCTGTTAGGGTGTCTTGCTTTTTTGCTAGGAGAGGTGTTTAACACACTATGCCGTCCCCGTCCCCCCCAAACCAGCACACAGCCATAAAACTGCCAGCTCGTCCAACGAGCCTGAATACCTCTGCAAGTGGATGGGCCTGCCGTATGCAGAGTGTAGCTGGGAGGATGGTGCACTCATAAGTAAGAAGTTCCAGCACTGCATTGACAGCTTTAACAACCGCAATTCCTGCAAGACCATCCCCTCGAAGGACTGCAAGGTGAGTGAGCCCGACTCAGGGAGAACATTTCAAACTGGATTTTTAGGAAGCACTTCTTTACACAGCGTGTAGTCAGAGTATGGAATAGTCTTCCTGATAACGTAGTGCAAGCTGAATCCTTGGGTTCCTTTAAATCAGAGCTAGATAAGATTTTAACAACTCTGAGCTATTAGTTAAGTTCTCCCCAAGCGAGCTTGATGGGCCGAATGGCCTCCTCTCGTTTGTATAGTTCTTATGTTCTTAGGAGGCCTGGCCCCCGGAGCTCCGAAACGGCACCTAGTAATGACGAACCAGCCTGCCATGTAGGACTTTAGTTGAACCTGGTATAGTTACTACTGCTTTAGAGACGGCCATGTTACTGGCGTTTTCATTGATCTAGATTTTGTGATTTGGAGATGAGAATTGAAAAGGTGAAAACACTGGGCTGGAGGGGGAAAACCCTGAATAATCACCCAAAAACAAACGTTTTTGTCATCACTCGAGGTGGTTTTTGTCGTGAGATGGAAAAAAGAAGAATTCGCAGAATTGCAATGAAAGCAATTTACAAATGAGTAGATTTGCTGTGTATGGTGATTCTGTGTGTACAGCACACCCCAGTGTGCTATGTTAAAACCATTGACAGCTGAATTTGCGGTTCTGATGGAACATATTGTTTTGTATACTAATAAATTGCTTTCAAATTTACGTAGTGGCTCCCTTCTGAGCTGAGAAAATGAGGTGCTTCAGGGTGATTTATATTTGGCTCTCGATTTGCACACACTGCTGCAATCACACCTAGCATTTCACATCCTATAACTTTTCTTGTCACTGATTTCAGTATGAGCATAACAGTGACATGACACTGAGCTGCAGATCTAAGCCATGATTTCTGTAACATAAGCCTGTTCCTGACTAAGTACGAGATATGGAACTGAATCTTGTGGGAAGATTAATGACAGGTATTAGTGGCATGGAAACACACCCTGCTCGCAGTTCTACTGTGTCGGCTTATTGAAGATTCGCCTTCTTTTTGTGCAGAAAGAGCACAAAATGAAACTCATCCTTTGTTTCATCATTATGCTTGCTTCAGGTGTTGAAACAAAGGCCGCGGTTTGTGACGTTAAAGAAACAGCCGTCATACATTGGTGGTGAGAACCTGGAACTACGGGACTATCAACTTGATGGACTCAATTGGCTGGCTCACTCCTGGTGCAGGTATGAGGCGGGGGCTACCAACAGCTGCTGCCCAACTCCCTTAAAAGTGGTCGTTTTCACTATTCCCACATGCTGCCATTCTGCCCTCGTGACTCCAGGTGCAACAGTGTGATCCTGGCTGATGAGATGGGGCTGGGGAAGACTATCCAGACCATCTCGTTCCTGTCCTACTTGTTCCACCAGCACCAGCTGTATGGGCCTTTCCTCTTGGTGGTGCCCCTGTCCACACTCACTTCCTGGCAGCGTGAGTTTAACACCTGGGCCCCGGACATGAACGTGGTGGTCTACCTTGGTGACGTAATGAGCAGGAAGACGGTACGTGGCAGGGCGAAGCCTGGTTCTGGCCTTCACATGTGACTTTGACCTGCAAGCCGGCTCAGAAACATTCCTCCATTCTTTTTTCTTTGCTCTCGCAGATCCGTGACTATGAGTGGGTGCACCCACAGACAAAGAGGATCAAGTTCAATGCACTGTTGACAACATACGAAATCCTTCTGAAAGACAAGGTGTGTTGATTAAGACAGACAGTTCAAATTTTGACTGTTGATAACAATGGTGCCTTTTTGACGGTTCAGGGTGTCACGTAGCTCCTGCTCTGTGCCCAGAGTGTCCTAGGTAACATAAACTGGGCCTTCCTTGGGGTTGACGAGGCCCACAGGCTGAAGAATGACGACTCGCTGCTCTACAAAACGCTGATGGACTTCAGGTCCAACCACAGGCTGCTGATCACAGGGACTCCACTGCAGAACTCACTGAAAGAGCTCTGGTCACTACTGCACTTCCTCATGCCTGACAAGTAAGTTGCCTTGACCTGGCCGTAGGCAAAAGTAGAAAGTTTAGGTCAAGAAAGTTCAAATCCAGGCCATGATTTTGTTTCAACCAACCAGTTGAATATTCTGTGAATGTAACCCTTTATGCTCAACTAGCTGGCTGAAACAAAATCTTGGTCTGGATTTGTATTTTATGAACCTAAACTTCCCTCCTCTGGCCATAGGGTGCTGGGGGCCAGGAGGGCAGAGTGTTCATGTTCTGTCAGAATAGCTTCTCGGTTTTGGTCAAGGTGAAGATAGAGGGGAGCAATCCAATAACAAGGCATCTAACTGGATGTTCATTTGCCATTTCCGAACGCTGAAGGGAAAAAGGAAAATTAGGCAGGATCTATATCCCTTTAAAGAGCCGTCTGTCTGTATTTAAGGTTGCCTTTGCTTGTCCACAGGTTCGAGTCTTGGGAGGATTTCGAGGATGAACACGGCAAAGGGCGGGACAACGGCTACCAGAGCCTCCACAAAGTCCTGGAGCCTTTCCTCCTCCGGCGCGTCAAGAAGGATGTGGAGAAGTCGCTCCCGGCCAAAGTGGAGCAGATCCTGCGTGTGGACATGAGCGCTCAGCAGAAGCAGTTCTACAAGTACGGCGAGTCGGGCTGCTCGCCAGTGGCGTGAGGTCACGTAAAGATGCCGGTGTTTCCCTCCCTCTTCTAACGTTCCGCCAATACAACCCCCGACAGGTGGATCCTGACCAGGAACTACCGGGCTCTGTCCAAGGGCACGAGGGGCAGCTCCTCGGGCTTCCTGAACATCGTCATGGAGCTGAAGAAGTGCTGCAACCACAGCTTCCTCATCAAGCAGAGTGAGGACAGCGATAGCGGCAGCCAGCAGGAGCAGAAGCAGGTAGGGGGGCCCGGCAGAACCACCCCTCTCCCCCACCCCGTTCATGCCCCCACAGTGACTGTACTCTGATGCAATCTCTCAGAACCTGGTGCGTGGCAGCGGCAAACTGGTCCTCCTGGATAAGCTGCTGACCCGGCTGCATGACAGGGGCAACCGCGTGCTCATATTCTCCCAGATGGTGCGGATGCTAGACATCCTGGCGGAATACCTGACCTACAAGCGCTACCCCTTCCAGGTACGGGGAGCGGGACTTATCCAGCAGGCGGGTGGGCCACCTCTGCTTTCATGGAGATCTTGGGACTTTATGGCCAATCTTGGGTGCGGGAGGTGTTTAAAGTGACAGGGAAGCAGTGAGCTTTAGAGTGGGCCAGTTGTTGACTCAGGTGTTCTGGATCATATGTCAGGGCTGGGTGTCCGGCACATGATTGGCGGAGTTTGATACGGCCTGGGCTATTTTTATTCTCGAGTTATTTTTAATGGGGACTGGGGGCTGTAGATATCTAGACAGCTTATGCCTTTAAACTGCATATTAGTAAATGGAATTCTCGCGTTCATTCTGGTCTAAATATGGCATGTTTACGGGGGTAGTGTTTATTTTAATTGGGAGATTAAGTTTATTGTTGGGGCTGAAAGTTGTCGGGAAGCAGTTTAGGCCCGAAGCCAAAGTTGGGTCTGTTTTTCTTTTCAGCGGTTGGACGGCTCAATAAAAGGAGAGATCAGAAAACAAGCTTTAGACCACTTCAATGCTGAGGGATCTGAGGTATGTGAGTCAGCCGGTCGTCCTACGGAAAGCTTGTGGTCTGCATGCACAGGGGTTTATTAATTCCCATGTGCTTTCAGTTTTAATGGATTCTAAAATGTTCCTAAATAGACCAGAATGACTCCCAATGAGTCTGACACACGTTCCAAGCTGTCTAGGGTTCCTGTTATGTTTTTGAAAATGAATCTCGACTGCACCTATTCAAAGGGACCAGTCTTAACTCATCATGACTCATCAAATTATTTTTTTAAGGAAACCATACATCCTGTGTTGAGTTACCTACTAAACACGGTCCGCAATAACGGTAATGTCAGCTGAATCCTGAATAGTGGCCATGTTGCTGCCGGAGAGACGGGCCATCCCCTTTCAGAGTCTCCTGTCATGGTCTCACTGTCTGAGAAAATGGCTGGTCTCCATGTCATAGGACTTCTGCTTCCTGCTGTCCACGCGAGCCGGAGGCCTGGGCATCAACCTGGCATCGGCTGATACTGTGGTCATCTTCGACTCCGACTGGAATCCCCAAAACGACCTGCAGGCGCAGGCCCGGGCGCACCGGATAGGCCAGAAGAAGCAGGTGACCATGGAGCGATGGATGCGTGTTTATGCAGATTCCAGACTTTGGGGTCGGAATCCTTTGGAGGAAAAACGAGAATCCAAAACTGAAATCATCTGAAATATCCCCTTTTTGTCCTCAACAGGTGAATATTTATCGTTTGGTCACAAAAGGGACAGTTGAGGAAGACATCATTGAAAGGGCCAAGAAGAAGATGGTTTTGGACCATCTGGTCATTCAGAGGATGGACACCACGGGACGAACTGTACTGGACAACAGCTCAGGAAACTCAAAGTGAGAGAACAGGAATGCTGTCTTCTCTACGGTGGTGGTCTTACCTGTGGTCAGCTTCTGGAAGTTAACTTCCCCATATGACTTGGGTCACACGGGCTCATTTTGTCGTATTGCTAATTAAACACTGATCCTCTAACAGAACTGACCGGCTGCTTGTTGCCTCTGTGTTCACAGTTCTAATCCGTTTAACAAGGAAGAGTTGACTGCCATTTTGAAGTTTGGTGCTGAAGATCTTTTCAAAGAGCCAGAGGGAGAGGAGTCTGAACCACAGGTCTGAGGAAGGACCCCTCCGTCCAAAAAAAAAAGAAAAACGAGTGTGCAGATGATGTAATTAAAATGGGAAATGCCATTCTGAGTCGTAACCAATCATATCTTTTCCGGCAGGAGATGGACATTGATGAGATCCTGCGGCTGGCAGAGACCAGGGAGAGCGATCAGGGCTCCAGCGCCACAGACGAGCTGCTGTCCCAGTTCAAGGTAACGACCTTTGGAGCCGCCGACCCTGATCCTGGGGCCTCGGCCTGGTACCACGCTCCCTCACGGCCCCTCTCCCACCTCTGCCAGGTGGCCAACTTCTCCACCATGGAGGAGAGCATGCCCGAGCTAGAGGAGAAGCCCATGCGCGACTGGGACGACATCATCCCTGAGGAACAGCGGCGCAAGGTAGAGGAGGAGCAGAAGCAGAAGGAGATGGAGGACATCTACATGCTTCCACGAAGTCGGAGCTCCAACAAGAAGGTTTGGGCCAGGCCGGGCCGGTGTGGGTTTTCATAAGTGGGGTGATGGCAGCTGATGTCTCCTTTGGGACTCAGCTTCTCTCATCTGTTTGGGTTAGGAGGGCCTGGGGTCTATAGCTGACTTAGGCTGCCCCTCCCCCCATTTCTGATGCTGGTAAGTGAGAAGCAGTTGCCTTGCAGAGTCCTAGCAAAGTCCTAGCTGAGTTGGCGTCATACTCTTCATGAGTTGTGTCTGTGTTCCGCGTCTGAAAGGCCTAATTCTTTCTTGAAGGCCCAAGCCAACGACAGTGATAGTGACGTTGGTTCCAAACTGAAGCACAGGTCCTCTGGGTCCGAGAGCGAGACCGACGACAGCGAGGATGACAAGAAGCCGAAGAGGAGGGGCCGGCCCCGAGCTCGCAAGAACAATGTGGAGGGATTCACCGATGCCGAGATCCGCAGGTGACCAACTGGAAATGTGATTTGCCTGAATATTGTGATAAAGGAACATATTCTGGATGTGGTTATGAATGCTGCTGAATTTCATTTCACCAGATTCATCAAAGGCTACAAGAAATTTGGCTGCCCACTTGAAAGGTAAGCTGATGTTTATTTGTATCAGTCTTTACAGACTGCCGATGGTCTGTCTAATGTAATGAGTTTGAAGCAGTGTTTCCCAGTCCGGTCCGTAGACAGTCTATGCTCTTGATTCTACCAGGAACTGGGAGGGGGTCCCTGAGGACCGCATTGGGAAACACACTAGTCTGAATTGTTTTTTCTGGGGCTGAGACACGCATCCCTGTGCTTCTATAGATTGGAGGCCATCGCACGAGATGCAGAGCTGGTGGACAAGTCCATTGCGGACCTTCGCAGGTTGGGAGAGCTGGTGCACAGCAACTGTCTGGTGGCCGTCCAGGAGCACGAAGAGCACCTGAAGGAGAACCCCAGTGAGGGTGAGGGCGCCACCCATAAAGATGCCCAGTGAGGCTGCCTGTCGCACCTGTACTGATCCGCCACTCTGTCTCCCTGCAGCCAAAGGTCCAGGGAAGCGAAGAGGGATCAACATCAAGATCTCAGGGGTGCAGGTCAATGCCAAGTCCATCATCCAACATGAGGAAGAGTTTGAGGCCTTGCACAAGGCCGTGCCCTCGAACGCTCCAGAGAGGCACAAGTGAGAGGCCGCTTCACCCTTTTGTTTGAACCTCATGACATAGCCACCTGGTGTTATTTCGGTCTGAAGGTCTGGTTGTCCCACAGAAGCAGAGCAGATGTGTTGATTCAGGACCTGTTGTTACCCCTTGGCACCTTGTCCAGGTTCCAGCTCAGCTGTCGCGTGAAGGCACCCCACTTCGATGTGGACTGGGACATCATGGATGACACACAGCTGCTGCTTGGGGTCTATGAGCACGGCTACGGCAACTGGGACCTGATCAAAACCGACCCCGAGCTCAAGCTGTCCAGCAAGGTACGAAAAGAGACCGTACACCATCACACGCTGGAACTGTGAATGGTATCCGGCTGCTTCCGGCAGGTTGCCCACTCTCGGCTGTCATTCACTCCACTTGTTTGTAGATCCTTCCAGATGACCCAGATAAGAAGCCTCAAGCCAAGCAGCTGCAGACGAGATCTGACTACCTCCTCAAAATGCTCAAGAAAGAGCTAGAAAGCAAAGACATCCCCAAGCAGGGGGATGAGGTTGGTGGAGCTTGAGCCTAGAAACACCTAGTCTTACTGTTAAGATTTTTACTCCGCTTATTGTCGGCCCGTCATCCCAACAGAGCCAGGTGAAGAAGAAGAAACCTCGCAATAAGAAGGAGGCCAAGTCCTCCAAGGATGAGCAGAGTAATGATGTGTCTTCCCCACGCCTTTCTGACCACCCCTCGGAGGAAGGGGAGGTGAAGGTGAGCAGCAGAGGGCGCTGGCGAGCAGAGCCCCATATGGCGCATGCCACCTTGAGGCTTACGTCTGTCTCTCCCCCCCCCGCCCCACTCCCAGGATGATGGAACAGAGAAGTCCCCCACAAAGAAGAAACAGAAAAAGAAGGACAACAAAGAGAATAAAGAAAAACAGGGGACTCCGAAGAAAGAGAAGGATGGAGATAAGGACAAAAAGCACTCCAAACCAAAAAAAGAAAAGGTATCTGATCAGGAGAAGCTTGTCTGTTGGGTTTTGGTTTTGGTTTTGGTTTTGGGTTTGGGTTTGGGTTTGGTTTGGGTTTGGGTTTGGGTTTTGGTTTTGGTGTTGGTGTTGGTGTTGGTCTCGGTTGGGCTGCTACAGATTTCATGCCACCGTGCCCCCTCCCCAGGGCAAGGCGGGCACCAAAGGGAAGCCACCCCAGGGTCCGGTGCACATCACGGCGGGCAGTGAGCCGGTGCCCATTGGCGATGAGGATGATGAGCTCGACCAGGAGACATTCAGCATTGTAAGTCTGGGAGGGAGGATCGGCATGCTGCCACAGTGTACTCTAGACAGGGGGCAGTAATGAGTAACTTACAGGTCATGTACCAGTCAGTAACATGGGGGATTAATTAGGCAAATATGTAAAGCCGGGTATGTTGTGAGAGTCCTGCCATAGTGGTGAAAGTGGCTCAGTGCTGCGTCCTGTTGGCCTACAGTGCAAAGAGCGCATGAGGCCTGTGAAGAAGGCCCTGAAGCAGCTGGACAAGCCCGACGAGGGCCTGTCGGTGCAGGAGCAGCTGCAGCACACCCGCAGTTGCCTGCTGAAGATCGGGGACCGCATCACAGAGTGCCTGAAGGCTTACAATGATGCTGAGCATGCCATGGCCTGGCGCAGGTAAGTGTCTGTGATTGGCCAGCCCGTCGCAGGTAATCTTCTGTGATTGGCCAGCCCGTCGGCACTCGTGTCCTGTGTGATCCCGATGCTTCTCAATGTCTCGCCCAGCTGTGTCCCTTACTCTCGGAATGTCCCGTGTCATGTGGCAGGAACCTCTGGATTTTCGTGTCGAAGTTCACAGAGTTCGGCGCGAAGAAACTGTACAAGCTGTACAAGATGGCTCAGAAGAAGCGGTCACAGGAAGAGGAGGTGGGTGCGCCTCCTGCTGGCCACTGCCGGTGTGCTTCCTGCCCCCCCCCCCATGCTGAGCCACGCTCTCTAATTTCAGAAGGAGCAGAAGAAGAAGGAGGACGCCTCTGTGAGGAAGAAGCCCTTCAGGCCGGAGCCTTCCAGCTCCAGTCGGGACTCCATGGGCGCCCAGCCATCCCCAAAGTCACATGCGCCCTTGCCCCACCCCCCGCAGCCCCCCCCCCACGCTCACCACAGGGACCCGTACATGCCGCCCAACAAGAGGCACTTCCCCAGTGACAGTGAGTGTGGCGGCTTCATCCCACTCGTGGGGCTGCCAGCATCCATCCGTCCGTCCATCCATTCACAGTCTGTGCTGAGCAGTAATTTAGTTTTGTGCTCCCTGTACTGAGCACTGCTCTCCTTTCACCCCCCACAACAGATCGGGGAGACTGGCAGCGAGACCGTAAGTACCCGTATCCTAGCAACCAGTCGTGGCAGGCTGATCGGCACCACGCCTATGAGCCGCACCGATACAAGGATCATCACTACGGTGACCGGCGGCTGCACGGGGATGCCTACAGGAGCTCGGGCAACTACCGCAAGCGGCCCTACGAGCAGTACGGCAACGACCGTGACCACAGGGGCCACCGCGACTACTACGATAGGTGAGCTTCTGGCCTAGGCGAGTCCGGCACGGAGACACCGCGTCCTGTCGTGTGAGTGACACGTCTCGCCTCTTCTCAGGCACTCGGACCCGAAGAGGCGGCGCGTGGACGACTTCCGTTCTCAGAACTACCACCAGGGCGGCAGCCACGTGCCGGACTACCGGAGGATGCCCGAGCACCATGGCCCGGTGACGCCGGAACACTACCGACCCTTTCACCCCGACAAGGCTGGGGACTACATGCCCCCCCCGCTGCTGGACCCGCGCTCGCCACAGGCCCAGAAGTCCCCACTGGACACACGCTCACCCCAGGAAAGGACCGCGGAGCAGAAAAATGTGGCAGAATTCAGCTGGAATGCCCGCAAGACATGAGACGTGTGGCCTCAGGTGGAAAGTAGCGTGACTGAGTGCACGCAGGGTGCAGGAGCGGACACTAGGGGGCGACACATGCTGCTAGGGGAGGCGAGTCCTGTTTCCGCCACCCTGTTCTCTGCCCGGTTGGACTTTGCAGGTGGAAAAAACAAAACAGACTCCTCGCCTGTTTACCAGCAACCACCTCACCTTTTCATTTGTATTTTTTACAGCGGGACAGAGGGCAAAGACAGATGTGGGGCCGGGTTAATATTCTTGTGGGTATCAAACAGTGTCAAATAAACAGACTAAGGTGTGTTTAGTCCCACGGACTGAGGAGCCTGGGAATATGGAAGTGCCTCAGAAACTCGGCTTATTTTTGAAAGATACAGAAAGCAAGGGAAGTTTTCCCAAAGCCACTTTTTTTTAAGGTTTGTTTTGTTGTCGTTTCGGAATAATCTGAGGTCTGTCTATATGCTGAGGGCAGAGCATGCCCTCGCTGCCCCCACCCCCAGGCTCAGCGCCATGACCGGCTCTCTGCTAAGGACTCGGGCTGTCCGCCGCAGACGCCTGTGGCGGTTGACGACTCGGGCTGTCCGCCGCAGACGCCTGTGGCGTTCGGGAGACTCTGCAGGTGCCGTGCTTTTTATTATCATCCCAGGGATCAGGACGAGTTGCCGGGTGGTCTCGACCGCTCCTTAGACCATCCTGGAGAGCTTTCACCGTGAATCCTCTTGCCAACCCCAGAATTCGTCATACGAGCATCAAAAATCAAGCTGTATGAACTTAAGCTGTTCTGTGAATAGCCAACGCCAAGTCCAGATGTTCTCTGCTAAAGCTGAATTTTGTTTTCGCAATAACCAGTATTTAAGGTGAACACAGGCCTTGTAAAAAATATTTAAACACTAAAAAGACTTAAGCTGTCATAATGGCTGTCCCTGTCGGAATGATTGGGAGGCTGCTTTGATGTGCTTTATTTCTACGGTCAGTACAAAAGGTACCTGCAGCTGCTCTTGCACTAAAAGTACAGTATTCTACAGTAATATTGGATGTTCCTTTCTTTGTAAGTATTTTGTAACATCACAACTTAAACGGTGAAAGTGTTCCTGAATCCTTTTTGAATACAGGTGAATTATACCTTTAAATAAACTGGGAAGATCATGTGTGCGCCATTCTGTCTGTGTACAGATCTGTGCGGAAGTGTGGAGTGGATGCTGCCTGCAGGTGTAGCTTGTGAACGCGTGGTGTTCAAGCGCGATGGTGTGTGAGGCTCGGGCTGAATGCCACACACAGGAGGTGATGCTGGGCGACACTGGCTGCTGTCAGGCATCTGCACAGACAGACGCAAGAGTGCGAACGGGGGAGATTTCCTGCTAGTGAAAGCTGAATATACACCTGGAAAGGCAATTACTATAGTAAAACTTAATGTAAATATTGTTTGAATACGTACGTACTTCAGTTTCCCATGCTATTAAAAATGTTTTTGGTTGTGCTTTATAGTTATGGATCTGAGTTTTGGTCATGAAGTCATTAGTATGTTCTGTGAGTCAGATTCATTCAAATGAGTGGTGACAAGTTTTTGAACTCATTACAGAAGTGTGTGAATCTTCCCCCTGTCCTAAAGTGGCAGCACCAGTCTGACCAGATGCTAACCTATCGGTCCCCAGGTCTGGACCTGGAGGGCCAGAATCCAACAGTTTGCAGATTTCCCTACGTCTTATTCAGCTAGTTACCAGGTTTAGTAGGTGTGTTTGAACGGGGGAATCTGCACACCATGATTCAGGGAATCCTACGCTAACATGTTAGTGGGTCCCACTTAGCTGGTGTCATTTCTTATTCATTCCTCAGTGCAGTCAGTGTTCATTATATTACGTGTATGATTGACATGAACGGTTCTAGGTTTCCTGGCATCTGTGGTATACGCACTACTACCCAGAATCCTCTTCTGCCACAGCTGGCAGACACTTCTCATGTATTTACCTTTTCAGGAAATTGGTTGGTAGCATTCAAAACATTCTCTTCCCATAAATCTTTTGTGTGCTGGACTGGGGGGGGGGGGCACACAACAGGGATCGGCACAGCTGCACTTTCAGTGACATTCTGAGAGATCCTCAGAAAAAAATGTGAGGGGGAAAAAAAAATCATTGTTAAGCATCTCTTAAGGAAGTTTATGTTGCATTTATAAAGCTTGCTACGTCCCTGCACTCCAGTCTGTTTTACATTTCTTCATGTACAGTACATGGATACTTCATGAAGATGCTGTTACATTTCCAGCTAAGTTTGACAAGAGTTTAGTAAAATCCAGGATATTTGTTTATATAATGATGTACTTCACCCTCATCAAATTTGGAATTTGCAGTGGTTCAGTGTTGTTTGTTTCATTTTAATCCATTATTTACAATAATTCCCGTTTAGGGTTTTCAGATTTCCTGTGGGTGGCACAGTGCTGAGTCCCTCCCCCAGCTCCATGTGTGTGGGCTTTGCATCTTTCCTGCAGTTACCCCCAACAGTCCAAAAACATGCCTTAAGTGTGTGTGCGTGTGCGTGTGTGTGTGTGTGTGTGTGCGTGCGTGCGTGCGTGCGTGCGCGCGCACCCTGCTATGGGCTGGCGTCCCATCCTGTGTTGATGTTGTCCCCCACAAACGGCTCTTGCTAAAGCTCAAAGCTGCAGGGATTTTAGGAACTGTGGCAACTTGGATCAAAAACTGGTTAATAGGAATAGGAAGCAGCGAGTAGTTATTAGAGGCACAATGTCACAGTGGGCTTGCATTCATAGTGGGGTACCGCAGGGTTCAATTTTAGGACCACTATTGTTCCTAATTTACATTAATGATATTGACACCAATACATACAGTAAACTGGTTAAATTTGCAGACGACACCAAGGTGGGCGGTGTAGCAGATACTGATCTAGCAGCAGAGAGGCTACAACGGGATCTGGATTTAATTAGCAACTGGGCTGATACTTGCCAGATGAAATTTAACACAGATAAATGTAAGGTAATCCCTGCAGAGAGCAGAAATATAAAGTACAGATATTTTATGGGTTCCACTGAAATAAAGGTAGCTGATTACGAGATCTTGTGTGTATGTTGGTGCTTCCATGTCCCACTCTCACCAGTGTGGGGAAGCAATAAAAATGGCCAATAGAATGTTGGGTTATATCTCTAGGTGTGTGGAGTTTAAGTCAAGGGAGGTGATGTTACATTTATATAATTCCTTGTTAAGACCCCACCTAAAATATTGTGTGCAGGTTTGGTCACCATACCTTAAGAAGGACATTGCTGCCTTAGAAAAGGTGCAACGGAGGGCTACGAGAATGATTCCTGGTCTTAGAGGAATGTCTTATGAGGAGAGGTTAGCTGAGCTGAATCTGTTTAGCCTTGAGCAAAGGAGACTAAGGGGGGACATGATCCAGGTCTATAAGATTCTAACGGGTCTGGATGCTGTTCAGCCAAATGGCTATTTCAATATTAGTTTAAATACTAGAAGTCGTGGCCATAAGTGGAAATTAGTGGGAGAACATTTTAAAACAAATTTGAGGAAGCACTTCTTTACACAGCGTGTAGTTAGAGTATGGAATAGTCTTCCTGCTAGTGTAGTGGAAGCTAAAACCATCGGTTCCTTTAAATCAGAGCTAGATAAGATTTTAACAACTCTGAGCTATTAGTTAAGTTCTCCCCAAACGAGCTTGATGGGCCGAATGGCCTCCTCTCCTTTGTAAATTTCTTATGATCTTATTCCTTGCCTTCTGCCCGTAGCCTCCTGGATTGGCTCTGGATCCCCACATTGGACAGATAGGTACAGAAAATGGACGTGGGATGTTCATGTCTGCTTCATGGGTGGGTAAATGGAAAGTGACTGATTTCTGCTAACTGTTGAATTCACTGAAAATGTGGGTTCCACATGCCACTCTGACACGCAGTTATGACTATTGCTGTATATATATCAATTTTTCGAGTGGCTCGGTGTATAGCAGTCACCTCACACCTCAGGGTTTGGGATTTCAGGCACACTATACGTGTGGAGTTTTCAGTCTGATGAACTTTGGCTAATGTGCCCATAGTGTGTGTGTGTGTGTGTGCACGCCCTTCGATCAGCATCTATCCCACCCAGGGTGGGAGCAGGGTATGGATGTAAATTTTAAAGCACTACAGCTATGATAATAAAACATTTTAGTATCGGTCTTATTTACCATTAGAACATGATACCTGCACAGCACCCTTAAGCATAACAATCCATGGACTCCATATAAGTCGTCTTTGTATCACATTACATACAGTATGTATAATTCCATGATTTCATATTTTTAAAAATGTAGGTTATCTGGAAGTTATTTTAAAGCATTCATGTAGTTACATGAATAAATATGCATATGAAACATGACGAGGTAAATTAGTGAATCAGTAGATTTGCTATGGTAAATGAAAATGGCACCAGCCCAGCTGTTTTGTTCTCACTAGGGATGACCTTGCATTTCTGCTCCACCAGGTGGCACTCTGACCCAACCCTACCATCCTGTTTTCCTTACATGTCCAGAGAGGACTTGGGAAATGGGATCAGTGGGTTGGGCGCTGCTTTCGAGTGGTAAATCTTAATTATTACTTTAATATGATTAGGAATAATGCGGTTTATTTAAATAGTAAAGAAAATGTGGATCAGCAGACATTATCAAGTCAAGTTTAAACTGTCCCGACTCCTGACCTTAGATAGAGCTTAACATTGGACTTTTTTGATTGTTCTTCTTGTTAAGACTAAACTTTTTTATGTCTTGGTCGAAATATTCATTCTGTATGTTAAAGTAGGTTTAGAATCCCTGTATTCGTTTGAAAAGCCGCTGAGGTCAATGCAAAGACATCAAATAATGTCTGAAAGTGGTGAGATGGGGTTTGCTAAACATTTATACTGAATGACTATAAAGTTGAATTTGACAATATAGTAACCAGGTAGTCTATAATATATCAGGAGTAATAGTGGTTAACTGAACTCCTAAAATGGATATAAGCTTAATTACAAGCTTGTTTATAAGGTAATAGCAACAGTTATGAGAGTAAAGGAAAGGACTAAGGCTCTGATACTGAGCCATGGAATCTGGTTTTTAAAGGCATCAATAGCGATTGCAAAATGCTCCACAAGTGTGGCCCCCTACTGACCAGTCAGGTGTGTGCAGGTGGCAGGCTGCCGCTGGCAAGAATCGGCTCATTGCTGGAGTTCTGTTACAGGGCAATGTGAACTCAAACACCAACACCAACTAGTGCGTCAAGACATCAACAGGAAAATGTGAGTTCACTAGGTGGACAGATTTAGACTATAATAAACTGGTTAAGAATAGGATTACATCATACCATCGAAACGCACCTGTCACAGTGTTTCCCAACTGACAGACTGGTCTCCGAAGACTGAGTTGGGAAACACTGACTTATCATATGGTCATTTAATTCTTTAGAAAACCAGTTTGTGCTATCTTAGAAGGAAGGGGGGGGGGGGACCTGATCCATGGAGGGCCGGTGCAGGTTTTTGGGATGGCCCCTCAATTACCCAATAACATTTCCCGGGACTGGAGTCAAACTGTTTTTTTTATTGCCTGATTGTGAGGTCATCCCAAAAACCGGCACCGGCCCTCCATGGATCAGGATCCCCACCCCTGTTAGAAGGTGAGATGGAATCTCATGTTTATGTTTAACACATTTCAAAGTGGGTTGATCTCCAGAACCACTGTTCTTCTGCTAGAATTCATGTAGTTGCTGAGTGCATACAATGGTTCAGATTCAACTTTTGTTTAAAATTTTCTGTTTTTTGTAATGTGACCTTGGACTCTGAAGACACTATATAACAATTTATTATTATTATTATTATTATAATATACTGTGTGTCTGCACTCCTATCATGTCATGTGCACCATGTGTTAATCTGCACTTTACCCCTATAATTGTGTACATACAGCCCCCCCCCCATGTGTCTTATGTTGCACCGGGGGGAACGACATCTTGTACCACTGTATACTTGTGTACGGCTGTTTATTAAGTCCCACTTGACTTAATAAATATTATTATTACATTCCTGCTTAATTCTTCACAGACAGGCACTAAGATGTCACTGGCTTCTATACCACTCTTCATATTACTAATACTCATATCTTTTAAGTATTTTGTGCACACCTTTGGTGGTATAGAAAGTGTACAGACAAATAAGACAAAGGACAAGTATTCAAAAAAAAAAACAAATGGACAAGACTTTACTTGGTCAATAAATAATTTACAGTATATACAGGTGGTGCTGTGCTGTCATTTATCCTACATACAGACTCCAGGAATTGGCATGTTACTGCTGTACATCTTCCAGGCCCATTGAGTAACAATCTGAGTACTAATATTCACAATCAACTTACAACTGAGTAAGAGCTAAGGAGAGAGAATTAAAAACATAAAGTGCTTCTTTAAATGTGTATCAAAACCAAACATGAACACCACAAACACCATTCTGCCCTATTTAGACCTGATTGCTGGATTAAATAATACCTTAAAAAAGGTCGACTCACATTTAGTCCACTGATTGTTTTCACATGCATGGAGGGGAATAAAAACATCTAAAAGTTTCTGCATCTATTCTCCTGCCCAGCAAATCAGAAGGTCAATCAATATGCACATTATAAAAGGCTAACTAGTAGGTGTGCAGTGCTGCGGCGTTCATGATTTCACAATCAATTTTTTAAGCCAAGGGTCACATTAAATCTAACTTCCCTCATGAGTTTTTGTAAAGTAAAAAAAAAAAAAAAAAAACTTCTAGAAAAATCTGGTAAACAAGGAACTACTGACCAGCTTAGTCAGACACACTGTCATCTACGACGGCACAGTCAATGTGGCGATTTAATGACTCACGAATCACATCCAGGAACACAAACCTAAAACGTTACAATCATCTATTTCCTTTTGGGTGCTGTGACATGGTGTGCACCCCCCCCCCCCCAGGAAGGAACAGAGAGAGGCCACCTCCCACGCTGTCTCTCTGGCTAAGCTATGTGTAGTTAGTGAAACTGACGAGTGCATCTCAGGTGCAGGTTGGGGGGACCAAAACTCTGCAATGCTGACTATTCTGTTACAGCAGAGTGGAGGTTTAATATTGATCTTGTAGCAGCTGCTAACCTTCAGTATTAAAAGAAAAAAAACAAATAAACATCTAAAATGTGCACATTAGCCCTGCGGGTGTGAAAAGCACGGCAATGGATCAGCTGACATGGAGAAAGTCTGCATGGAAACGGCGTCTGGAAGGTGAGGCGGCCGCACCTGGGCTGCACTCGCGTGTTGGCAGAGACGGCATGGGAACACAGCAACAAGACCGTCCATGCGGATGTAATGGGAGCGATGGAATCGATGCCACGCGATGGAATGACGCCGGCGCCTCAAACTGGTCCCACAGCAGCAGGACGCCACTGGGCGGCGGGGAAATAGCAGCCCCCCCCAGTTACCCCCACAATCTGCCCTCACTTTCATCAGCACCACACACAGCCTAGCCCTCAGTGCAACCCAAATACCTTCAACTACCGAGCTCCCCAGAAACGGGAGGGTTAGGGACGTGGGGGCAGGGGAGGGTGGGATTGGCCATTTTTTAAACTGTTGGCACAAGGTTCTGTTCTTTGGCAAAGGGTTTCAGCCATAAATTAACAGGTCTATTGAGAGAGGCGACTCAAACAAGCCCTACAGCGAGGCCAGTACGGCAGCCGGTATGCATGGGGGGCGGCCTTTTAATGTCAGTGTGACAGAGCGGGGCCTGGGCCCCTCGCGCCAGAGAGGCCCCCGCCTGCCAAGATCCCCCCCCCCCCAGCTCCTTGGCTTCCATCCGTGGTGGAAGATCGTTTCACTGCTTTGTTCATACATCTAGCTGAAGTGAATGTGGCATTGGACTGCTAAACTGTGAAAAGTATATGGAGGGAGAGAGAGAGAGAGAGAGAGAGAGAGAGAACCCAAGAGGGGCTAATTTAACAATAAAAGACAAATCTTGTGGTCGCCGTGTGAACATTTCAGTCCACACACACACACACATACATACACACACACACTCTCTATAAGCACATCCGGAGATATGCAAATTCAACTTAAAAACGACATTCAGCATGTAAACATTGCAATGGATATTCTGCTGTCCTCACTGCCGCATCCCAGATCCAGTTCCAGCTCGACTCTGACGCCCGGCCAATCGGATCAGTTAAATACTGTTCATTCTTTAGACACCTGGGATTCGCCGTCACTCCAGCTTCAAACAGCCCAACTGGAAATGACCGGCGGGTGCGGCTTCCGTCTACAGACAGCAAGCCCTCGTGAGAGGACACCATACGACCGTCCCTCTCCAGGACACGGCAGACACACGCACGCACACAGGCAGCCAGACGGGTGACCATAAATCTCCACCGGCCTGCAGAGGGCGCTCTGCTGCACGCTCAGGCCTCTCCTGTCTCCCAGGCCTATGGCGGGTGTCACATAAACAAAGCCCTCCCCATCGGTGGCTCACAGAAGCCTGCTGGCTCTGCCCTGTGCTGGGGGAAGCTCTCACCTCCCAGCTCAGCCCCTAAGATCCCGGAGCTACTCTGCCCCATCCCCAGGGGGCGCCGCTGCTCATCACCCAGAGCTGTCCCTCAGCATGCCCAGAGAGGGCAGCGATCGCGGCATTCCATCTGCGCGTTGGCGGGAACATGGAAGACAGGATGGATGGCTGGAATGGGAGACTCTGGCATGGAAACACTCAACCACCCCCCCCCCACCCAAGCAGGTGAGCGGACATGGGGTAGTGCAGGGTGAGGTATGGCGTGATGATGGGGATGTCTCACTGCTACAGCTGGAGCCACAGGCGTGATCAGAGACACACAGGAATCCACTGGAGCCAGAGCAGTGCGAGGGCACTAAGGAGAGGCAGCAGCCTCAGGTGGGGGCTCCTGGACGGGGCACCCCCCAGCCCTACCGCCTTCTCAAATAGATGGTACTTGTCCTTGTTCGAGTGCAGCATCTTGACGTCTTCGAAGGCATAGTAGGCGGCCAGGCTGAAGCTGACGTCACCAGACGTCAGCAGGTCGAAGACGCACGACTGGAAGTACAAGTCCTCCACCAGGAGGCGCTCTTTGCACTTGGCCACGGCTGACTGGTAAGTGAAGGTATGGGGCGGTGAGCCTAACTGGTCTCCGGAGCCGGGTCTCCCCGCGGGGGCACGTCCTCCCGCGGCACGCTGCCGGAACGTCCGGAAGTCGATGCGCTGGCTGAGGGGGCAGCCGTGCAGGCAGAGGTACAGGTCGTGGTTGTCGCCGTCCTCGGCCGCGCGCGCCACCTCCTCCGGCATGCGCACCGCAAACGTCAGGTAGCGGCCCACCTGCCGCACCACCATGGTGGTGCCGATGTAGCGCGCCTGGATCTCCACATGCTGGCCCGGGACCTTCTCCAGCACGCGCAGCGCTGCCCCCCCATGGCGCTCGCCGCCGTTGCGCGAGCCGTCGGCGAAGGCGGCCGGCAGCTCGTTGGTCTCCGCGTGGTACGTCTTCTGATCCACGCACTCCTGGAAGTTCTTAAAGATGATGGTCAGCTGTTTGGAGGAGAAGAGAGGAGCCATAAGCGTCACACCGGCACCATGCCTGCGAGTTTGAAACGTTCCGGAAAAATCTTAAAGAGCACTTTAGATTTACTACTTCATACAAACAACCAGAAATCAACTGAATTTACTGCCCCAGATGATGTCACATAAGAACAATGTTTCATACTATCAAACTATAATCAATCAGTCAGGTGCTAAAATATATATCCATCCATCTTCTGTTCGGTGTGGGATGCATGGCTGAGAACATCCTGAAGAGCCTGCCAGTGCATCATAGGGCATAAATTATCCATTATCAGAATCACACAGAGATCTACCCTTAAATCTAATGGAATACACCCATTTAAAATGGTGCAAAACACAAGAACCACTTTCAGGATTAATTCTGGCATCCCTGCGCATTTCATGCAGCGCACAACGCATTTCATTCCTAAATGTTCTGTTGCGCAGAATCCCTCCCCACACAGAAAAGTGCTGATTGTGGCAAAGCGAGGGAGGGGGTCTGCCAGGGCTAAGCCGCTATACACATCCGTCTACTGCAATTAAATTCATAAAGGAGGGAGCCAGACAAACACAGGAGTGGGATGGGGTCAAATCCCAGTCAGCAAACACAAAGGTGGCCCTTTCAGCAGAGTGAGGGTCTGTTTAATGAGCCCCCCCTCCCCCTAATTTCATTAGCAAACGGGTGACCCCGGGAGAGTGCTGCACCTTGGCTCAGAGTGCCCAAGTGCATGTGCGGGTGCGGAAGACAGGGGGCAGCACAGAGTAAGGGGCCAGTCACTGATCCGCATCTGGGTACCGCTTCCCACACACATCGCTGCCGTCATGCTGAACGCCGTCTGCTGCCTTTGCATGTGTGAGGCTGGGATTCAGGTTACCCACGTCAGCACCGGTGACTCATGTGTTTAAGTCTCGTTCCACACCGACTGTTTCAGGTTACATCGTCTTGCTTTGCTCCCCCATTCCCCACATTTACCCTCTGCTTGCATGACAGCGGTTCCCCCAGTCACAAAAATGCCAAACACCGGACAAGATCTTCACCAATACCCGGAGAGATGGGAGAGCAGCACAAAAGGTGGCTTGGTGGACAATCGGAAGGTACTTGGTTTGAGCCCCAGAAGTACCTTTCTGGCCCACCAGCTTAATTGAGTTATTTTAAATGAAAGTCTTAAATTTACCGAAATAATCTGGGTACTGCAGTTTTGCTGAACAGTCCAGAATCACACTGGTATGTGAACCAGGGTCACTAGATAGCAATAAGGTGTGATGTGCATGATAGCATTCCTGGCATCTCACCCAGCTTGCTCTCTGCCCTGTGCATCCTGGGATAGATTCCAGGTTCACTGGGACCCTATACAGCAGGGTTATTCAAATCACAGTCCTCGAGGTCCAAGCACTGCTGGTTTTCCAGCCTTCCTTTACCTGTGAGCCAGGTGTGAAGCCTCTGACCAATCAGAATCAGTAATTATTAAAACTAACTACCTGGGAGAACTGAAAACAAGGCCTGGATTTGGAATCGAGGTCCAGATCTGAAGAACCCTGCTATATGGGGTAAGTAGTTACAGAAGATGGATGGATAAGAGCACAAGCAGAGAAGTGTCCCACCTTGCTGGTTGCCGTGGCTGAAGAGCCAGGTAGCACTGGGGTGTTGGTCACCTGGACGGACAGGTACTTGTTGTGGATGAGAGGCCACGCCCCCTCCACGATGCAAGTGTGGAAGTCATCGCCGAAGGTGCGCAGGTGCGGGTCCCCAAAGAAGCCGCAGTGTGTGTAGTTGGGAGGGGCGGCGTTCCGCGGAAGGCCACGCTCATAGTGGCAGACCTCGGGCGCGTCGGAGCGCTCCTGGCTGTCGGGGGGCGGCGGTGGGGGCGGCGGCGTGCGGCTGCGAGTGCGCGGCTGCGTGGTGGGACCCTCCCTCGAGCAGTTGTGCTGGCCCATCAGGTCCTCGATGCCGTGCTGGGCAGAGTGGTAGGCCAGGTCGCCACGACAGGTACGCGCCGTGCGCCGCACGCAGGCGTGATAGGCCCTCAGCGCCGTGCAGAACTCCTCCTCGGGGCCCAGGCTGGACGTGGAGGCCCAGAACTCTGAGTTACACTTCAGGATCCGGCACTGCAGACTCGCTGTGGGGGAAAGAAAAACACGAGTTACCAGCAGCCGGGAGGTCCGGCCGCCCATGACTGCTCACCAGGACGTTCAGCCAGCCTGCTAATGAAACAGTCTCTTCAAGTCCTAAACGTGAGCATGAGGAGCCCAACACTTTAATCAAAACTCCTCCCCATTATTTATCAGGGAACCCATGGGCTTTAGCTGCGAGACGGACATGTCTCAATCTCAGCTGACCTTCTGCGGAGCTTCCCTGCATCATTTCATCCTTATCAACCAGTCCACAGAGAGTCCAAGGCGGGAGCTGTCAATGCGTCATTTACTGAACAAACACAGCCTGAATTTAACCTGATCTTTAAGATGTCTGAAATATGAAAACTGAAGCGCTACATTAACACTCTGTGCACCGTTATTGACATTTCTATTAAAGAAATGCAAAACACATACACACACATAAAATTCAGCGTGCCGTGATTTTGTAATTATTTGCAGACTGCACACTCAGTGACTCAGAAAACACCGTCAGCCTGGACCTACAGTGACAGCTACAATCTGAAAGACCCCAAAAAGCACAGGAGGTTTGCAGTCTTCACTGCATTTCAGAATGAATAACCGGCAGAAGAGAACAGGCTGCAAATGCACCAAATTCAGCATTTTTTTGGAAACCTGAATAAGGTGGTATGCAAGCAAAAGGTTCAAGACCGAACAGCGTTAAACTACAAAATAACCACTAAATGTAATACACGCAGCCTATTTTTAAAACCCATCAAGCTAACATAATAAAAACCTGAACAGCCATCATTAAACTGCAATTACCATTTGGATAGCCTGGTTCTCCTAACCACCTTACTGGAATACCAGCATCCCCAAAAGGGGTGGAACAGTGGAACGGGACAGGATGACAAGCGCAAGCATCTCGCCATGCAGTGTAATGCAAACTGATGCGCTGTATTGGCTAATAAATATTAGGGGGACAATGCACAGGTCCTGTGTTTTTTGGGGAGGGAGGGGGTGCGATCACATGACTTCGACAGCAGTTGGTGTAGGTCCTGCTTAAGCCTTATAATCAAGTAACGCCACCTTCTGAAAGAAATGGGTAGGCGTGCAGTAGGACAGGCTTTGAATAACCCCCCCCGGGAGATGAGGGAGAACCCCCCCC